CAACAAATACCTGTTTCGCATCGCGCTGTCTCCTCAGTGATTGCAGTTCCGATTCCATGAAGCCGATAGTGTCCACTGTTAATTCTTAAACGAAAACCTTCAACAGCGTTTGAGATCAGCAGCTGTTTGCCATCTGCGACATCTACTCTTCTCACATTCAGAAAGCCCAAAACTTTAGTTACTATAAACTGCTTCACTGAGCCAGTTCGAAACAAGACAAGACTATTCCTTTCAAGTTTGAACGCCAACAACAACGAAACGAATGAAACGATTTTAAGCGATTAAAATCGATCTCTTCAGCAACTGACCAGTATTGCTGCCGATCGACGTCCTCTCGACTTGCTTCGTTTCGATGTTCTGTCGCAGAGCAATCGCTGCTATTCGAAGCAGAGGCGTTAGTGAAGGTGGTAGCCAGTGATTGGCCAACAGTCGCTGACCGAAACGAATCTGCAGCTCATCAGCAAATCCCATCAGCGTTTCGGAATCCAATCCAAGCGTTCGAATCCTGTCCTACAGTGGCTCAAAGTGACTTCCGAATAATCATTCACTACTATTAAAATACACCAACCAAAGATTTAAGCTGAAATATCAACGATAATGATTGATGACACTTCAATAGCACTGAAGTTTCCAACCCTCTATAATGACCAGCAACATGATTTAGTATCTCATTACGATGAACTGAGGTAATCACTTTTCTTCCCAAACAAAGCTCAGTGATTAAATTATGACGTTACACATAGAGACTGAAGACATTTTGAAATGTAAAACTGAAAAAAAATGTCACAAGATTGAAGAAAATTTAAGTATTTATGAGTTAATAGGGAACAAACTCCGAGCTCTCTTGACCATGCCGTGAAAACAGAACATGCACGAACTGCCTCTCGAGCAATTGTAGCCGCTTCCCGAATCACGGGTAATATTTGCTGCAGTTGTCGACCAATGAGCTGAAATTAAAACGATCACAAAGTAGGCAGAAGCAAATCCAAAAATCAATTGGAAAATTCGCCATCTACATCAAATTATTCTATCATCACAATTTTATCAATTCCAATTGCATTCTCTGACTGTGATCTAGAACCAATACGCTAAAGTTTTTTACAGTTGCTAAATCAGTGCAAACAATCTGTACAAGAAATCAATCATGCACAAATTCATTGCTTCATAAGCCGCAAAAGAAGCATTAAGTGTTATTTATTCCACCATTTTACATTCGCTGCTGTTATAAAATCCGACTAGATCTATGAAATTATCGATCAGCCGCCTTGTGTATTTGATTACCTGGAAGTGATCATTTGGATCT